ACAAATTCTTCCAGTCCATATGCATTAGGAAATAACTTGTCTAAAGTAGTTCGAAAATCACCAGTGGAAGTTGCACTTTTCTTCATAGGTTGATGACAATGAGGACAAGCACCATTCGAATCGGCTGAAGCATTAGCAGATAAATTAGTAGAGTGAGAATCAAGACTAGTCATATTGACAATGAATTACAAATATAAAGAAAAAATATCTTTCTCTGGTTGTTGTGTTGTGTTGTGGAAAATAGGTTGTCACAGTGAATGAATGATAGAATATGTTATCATCTGTGCTATACACAAGATTATATATAACTTCTTTTTCGTTCTTTCCTTTCTTTCTTTCTTTTGTCGTTCTTCTTTTCTTTTCTTTTCTATTTTCGTTATTGTATATACACGCGTATATATACTTAGGGCATACCAAAAGTAGTGGCAGTGACACTTTTGTACTCTATAATAGGCTAAGGGAATTTTTCTTTCTATACAGACTGATGGAGAGAAAAAAAGCTCTATCTTTCTATGCTATTTAATTATACTTCATCTAATATCATAGTAATGCATAATCGATAAAACTTATGTTCGGCTGGTATTTACTGGTTGGTGGTATTTATATTGATGAGTATTTTTTGAATAACTTTCACTAGAAACAAGATAGAGAGCTACTGTTTTTACTACTAGAAAGAGTAGACACAGATGCATCAAATTATATATTATGGTTTTTTTCTAATATTGATTTCCGATGTATTTTTGTCGAAATTTTTAAACGTCGGAAAAATGTCTTTTTTTACAGTTTTTGTCATAAAATCGTTTTAGAGACTAGACTAAAATGCATACTCTTCGACAAGTGGTTTGCACTTAAACTTAATAATTGGAAATTCACTGTAAACAACTTATCAGATATGTTGGTTTTGAAAAAGGTCAAAGAAAGATCTTACAGAAGTTACATTAGAAAATCCTGAATTATACAGTTTGATGTGTCTTTATCTTCTCTTTTGAACAGTAAAAATCGCGATTCTCTATCTTTTTTCTATCAAAAGTTATTAAAAAAATACTCACTCGTATTTTGTAAAAAAAGAGTATTAATATAACCAACACATAATCAGCCGAAAATAAGTTTTATCGATAATTCATTACTATGATATTAGCTGATGTATAATAAAATAGCATAGAAAGAAAAATTTTCTTAGTCTATTATAGAATAGAAAAGTATCACTGCCACTACTTTTCGTATGTCCTAAGTAGTTGTTTGTTTACTTTTTCCACGATTTAACAATAAACATACATTTTAAGAGAGTATATTATCTAACAGAATACAATCAATTTTTGACTACAAGGTGAAACAAAAACAAGTTTTTATATGTCGTACAGGTGAAAAACTATATACAGTTTATTTGATTTATTTTCTCAGGTTTAAAATAAAAGAAAAACAATGGGAGTCCATCCTCCGTGGCTACAGTAGAGAAACAAAGAAAAAATCCATCTGTTTACTCAACTACGTCTTCCGTAGAGTATTGACATAGAGTTTTAGCAACTGTGACTATAATTCTGAGTTTTTCATCAAAAAACTAAAAACCAATTGATGTGATTTTGGAATTGGATGAAAGCAATCTTTATTTTCGATTGCCTTTAAATAATTATAAAAATGAAACACATCATTAGATTCTGATAATTCCTTGTTTTATCAACAGTAATTCAGATTTGATTTGATTTTTCTTCTAAACTCGTCATAAAAACCTACTCACCACGATCAAATAATGTTAAAATCAGTAATGCGCAACTGTCAAAATTCTATATGACAATATTTTCTTGTTTCGTTTAATATTTTTATATGATGACAACTTTTTATCTTTCTCTTTCGTTTGAATAAAGATGTATTAGAAAATCGTAAAATAGACATTCATAGTTCTTTTTAATAAGATGCGGTACATTATCTTTTAATAATTTAATTACTGGATTATGTGCGAGGAGAAGTGGGTGCTAAAGTAAATAAAGATGAGGCATCCGTCTACACCCTCATCATCCAACAAGCGCGCTTAGACATGCTCAGCACTGTTGCTATTCGCTTACTTAAATTATGCTCAAAACCATTAATACTGTCAAAATCAATTATTTAGAAAATATTCTTTTTTTTATTAAAACGATCGTGAGATATTAAAACTATATAGTATATAAAAATATAAAGAAATATAGTTTAGTCTTGGGCAACTTTCTATTGGGTCAGTGTGACTTCGTTGTTGATCCAGTTTGTACTTGTGAAGTAGGATTTGCCGAAAGAACAAGTGGTGAAAGCTCTCCTTTGATCAGTAAACTGGCTTTTCCCAACCAACAATAATCTGTTCCATTTGGTCCATGTATTTGAACACCAGTAAATAAAGCATACTGACGATCTTTAAACTTTTCTGCATCGTGTTTCACATGTCTTTCTAAATCCATTGTAATTGTTTCATAAGCAGCCATAGTAACTTCGAAGAGATTTGGAGCCTTTGCAGGATCAGTCGAAAGATTAGTCTTCTTAACTATATGCTTCTTTAACATACTCATTTCAATGTCATCTTCATTAAAGGTGAGATTTAGTTTATTCGATGCAATTTCACTAGTAAATGCAGCAAGTGCACCACATGCTGTTGTCTTTTCATTCATACCACTGCGTGTTCTATAAACAGCACCAACATTTCCTTCATGATCGATGGCAATATGAGTAAAACAATAATAAACGAAGAAACCATTACTAGGTGCATGATGATGAGCAGCAGCAAAGCCAGTTTCACCACAAAATAGCATACCACCAAGAGAACCACAAATGAATGCTTGACCCCACATAGCTTCGATTTCTTCTTCGAAAGGACTTGTTATCTCGTCACGACATAAACCAACACAAACCAAAGTGTTGACATGAGGATAGAAGCCTTTGGGAACTAATGTTTGTTTTGTTTCAAAGACAAATTCTTCCAGTCCATATGCATTAGGAAATAACTTGTCTAAAGTAGTTTGAAAACCATCATTGGAAGTTGCACTCTTCTTCATTGTTTGATGACAATGAGGACAAGCACCATTCGAATCAGCTGAAGCATTAGCAGGTAACTTGGTAGAGTGAGGATCAAAACTGGTCATATTGACAATAAACTGCAAATATAAAGAAAAAATATTTTTCTCTGGTTGTATTTATATTATTTGATTTTTCTTCTAAACTAATCGTAATAAAAATCTACTTACCACGATAAAATAATGTCAAAATCACCGATGGGTAACTGTCAATATTCTAAATGACAATATTTTCTTGTTTCGTTTATTACTCTTATATGATGAAATATTTTTATTTTTCTCTTCGTGCTTTTATAAGTAGGTCCGTTCCAGCTATATATTTTATGATTGACAGCTGCATATAATATACGTAAAATATTTACGGTGAAGAGACGAAAATGTAAAGAAAAAGAACGTTTTTTGTTAATAAAAGACACAAATGTATGTGAATATTTTTTGTGAATATAATGAGTCATATTCAACATTCACTTGTTGACTACGAGCATGTATAAAAATGGTCATAGATTATCTCATCCGTTGTTAAGAGTGGTCTGCTGACTTTTATCTCTCTCTTTCGCTATTGTTCTATGTCCCCTAATTAGGAGTGTGAGGGTGTCTTTTTTATTTACACCCATATCCACACCCTTAACTTACACTAAAATTAACTTGTACATAATCAAAAATAATCTTTTCAATTTTCAACTTCTTATATTAATCGCAAAAAATAAAACTCACATAAAACTATTTTAATATCAATTAGTAAACTATAATGTGCAGCTTTTACTATATTATAAAGCGCATGGGCATAATAGTTTTCAAGAATACAACAATACAAGTTTACCGTTTGAATAAAGATGTATTAGTAAATCGTAAAATAAATACTAATAGTTATTTTTAGCAAGATACAGTACGTTATCTTTTAATAATTTAAATACTGGATTATGTGTCAGTAGAGGTGATGTTGCTTTACGCTTGTTTGATTTGGTCTGCGTCTCAATCGAAATATATTGTCAGATCTTCTCATACAGATTTAGTTATCAATTACTAAAATAGATAATAAAATATCGACTTACTTAAAACAAGTGAATAGATAACAATTATTCAATAGTTGACAAAAAAAATCAAAAAGTGATTGCTTGCATAATTTATAGAAGTTCACTAAGAATACAAATAAGTGTAAAATTATGCTCAAAATTATTTATACCATCAAAATCGATACTTTAAAAAAATTATTTTATTAAAACGATCGTCAGATATTAAAACTATAAACTGTACAGAAATATCAGAAAAAATAGTTAAGTCTTCAACAACTTTATATAGTCAATGTGATTTGGTTGATGATCCTGTCTACACGTGTGAAGCAGGATTTGCCGACAGAACAAGTGGTGAAAATTCTCCTTTGATCAGTAAACTTGCTTTTCCTAACCAGCAATGATCGGATCCATTTGGTCCATGTATTTGAACACCAGTAAATAAAGCATACTGACGATCTTCAAATTCTTCTGCATCGCGTTTAACGTGTCTTTCTAAATCCAGTGTAATGGTTTCATAAGCAGCCATAGTAACTTCGAAGAGATTTGGAGCCTTTGCAGGATCAGTCGAAAGATTAGTCTTCCTAACAATGTGCTTCTTTAACATACTCAT